GCTTGGTTGCACTGATGACACCACAGACTTTTTATTATTGTAAGCTCAACTTTAAGGGCACTCCTGGTTTAAGACCTGTTTGCAGGGTTATATAATATTTGGAGCAGACTCGCAGACTTTATTTCTTACATCAATTACTTCTCACTTTAGCATGGGGATTGTACAGCTCTAGACAAAATAAGTATCTGCATTAATTTCTGTAGTTTATTTCCTCACCAAACTTGAGGGTTTTTTGGTCTTACATTGGAGTCCTCTAAACAGTCTGGATCCATATTTCTGCACATAGCTTACAATCATTGTGGTATGTTGTTTTGTTTTTTTCCTGTGCAGCTTTTTGTGGTTGGCAGGCAATTAAATCTTGCCTCTGTCTCTCTGCCTTGCCCAAGCTTCCTTCTCTGTGCCTCCACTCACCAACTGTCTATGGCTTTGTGAAGTTGAAGATCTGAATCTTTGTTCTCTATCTATGGGGGGATATTCTAATGCACTGGTTCTTAATCTTTTTTTTTAGACTGGGGCACCCTGGATAGACTTAAGGTAGTGCTTGGGAAGTGCGATCTCTTAGTTTTAACTCTCATTTTTGTGTAGAGAAAAATAATGGAGCAGCTTTTCAGCTGCAAATAACTCAGAAACATCACAACCATGGATTTCTGTTTGAACTCTCTGGATTTATCTTGTGAATCCTGCTTGCACACCTAACTGTGGCACCCTGCAGCACCCTTAAAAGGATCACAGGCAGGCATGGCTTGTGAATGCTGAGATGGTGGGGCAGATGGAGCGTCCCACAGGAGCACGGGGGGCCTGCATACTCAACTTGGTCACTGGTGCCTCCTGGGGGGGCACCTGGGGTCCCCCTGTGGCCGATCATCGAGCCAGGGGAGTGCGGGGGGCTCCCCCACACACTCAGCTGCAGACCCCCTCTTCCCCCCCGTGCTCCCATGGGACATTCCAGCTGCCCCACTATTTCAGTGTTCACAAGCCACGCCTGATCACAGGGCACCCTGGTTGAAAATCACCGTTCCAATCCTTTGCAGACAAACTTGTCTGAGCTGATTTACTTATCAGACTCCTATCTGTTTGTTCAAAAGTGCCCCTCTTGAATAGGAGTCATCAAAGCTTAATGGACCTTTCTTATCCCTGGTCCAGGAAATATGTAATAGAGCCCCAATAGCATATGGCTGACTCTTACGCATACTGTGAAGCATTCAGTGAAAAGACCATCACAACCTCAATCACAGTACCTAAGTTGTACGTAGAATGATTCCCCAAATTTTCACACCAGCAAAAGTGCTGTTTTATTGATACAACTGTGTTTATAGTAAGGGACCTTGGGAGACCCTACCCTTAAATGAAAGCTGGGAATCTTGAGGACAATTAGGAGGCTGGTGGGGTAGTGTATCCAACTCCTTACTCATCTTCTCTCCTCCTCCTCCCCCCCCCCGCAAGCAAACATTTTACTCTTGTGTACAGCTTCTGCTCTGGGGAAATATTGGTGTGTAGATTGTTTGTTTGAAGGAATAGCTTTTAAAGTGTAGTGTGGGGTTGCTCAATAGTTAAAGCCTATTTGAGGTGTCAGAGTAGCATGGTGGAAGACAAAGTTCAGTGCAGGACAAGGGTAAAGTGAAGAGTAAAAAAAGAATAGGAAATGCTAGAAAAAAAAGAATGTTGCATAGCATGGGAAATGTGACAGTCTGCTAAAATATCCCATGACACTTCATGCAATATATATTTTTTGCGTAATAGTTGTTTATAGAAAATAATTTACAGCGTGTGAGACTAATTGCACACTTGGTGTTTCATTGTTAGAATGTAATTAATTCTTTGCCTTTCTACTGATCTATTCTTTTAACCTGAACTATCTTATATGTAGTTTTAACTTAGTGTAAAGTTTCTTGTAGTAATCGATATAAGTTTAAATATGTAATGCATTACAAATGAAAAAGCAATAATCATTGTATCATCAATATCTTCTTGAACTGGTATTACTGACCTTGCATAACAGTAACATTTGCTGTAAATTAGTACAAGGAAGATGTTCTGTAACTAGCGGTAAAGATCTGACTGTTCTGATGAAATTTAAGTGGTTCCTCTTTTTTGTTTTAAATAGCTCTTGTGATTCTCAAGGAGAGGCAAAATTAAAAATAAAATGTAAGCTTTTGCATGGGTATCTTCAAATTTTATTATATATATTGTAGAGTTCAGTAAATTACATTAAACAACATTACTTGTAAAGCTTTTTCACACCTGGGATAGCAATTCACTGTTTCAGATAATAGGTCAATTCTTGTCATGATCATCTCAAGGTTAAAAATATTTCTCTCTTAAGTTCAGACTGATTTTTGTCTTGTGCACTTGCTGCACTTTGTGTGTGACTAAAGTAAAACTTTATTCATTATATCGTCTATTGTGTGTTTAACAAATTATTTAGGCTTTTTTAAAATACATGCTAAAAATTGTGCAAAGCTGATTTTTTTTTTTTTTTTTTTTTTTTCTTTTTCTTTCCTTTTTTTTGGTCCCACTTTACAAGATCTGTCATTAGTTGTTCAAATTGGAGGTTTTATTTAACAGGTCTACAAATCTAGGTGTTTTGATAGTGGTGTGTTTGTGTCCTTTGTAGTGAAGCGTTTAAAATCCAGACTTCCAAGGGGGCTCCAATGTCCTGAGTTTTGGACCCATTCTTTTAAACGTTGTCTTTTGTGTACAGCACTGACAAAGCACAAATGTAGGAAGTCATTGCTTACACACTCAAAGATGTATGCTTATTTTGTTTTAAAAATTGCACCATGTTTGTTTCTTGGTATTTTTAATTTATTCCTTCAAATTCTTAAAGATCCATGCTATTCCTTGTCAATAATAGAAGATTAATCATAATTGTACAAGTAGGCATTGTTAGACACGTTAGCTTTGTGATTACAAATCTTGTCCTTTTTCAGGAATTTATAGCTTGGTTTAGGGAATACCCTTCTCTCCCCCCCACCCAAACTTTCTGAAAGGTCAGTTTGGCTTTTTAACTACAGTATGTGGTTTTCTTTTAAAAACATATCTTTGCCAAAATGCATTTTTGTTTCCATACTTAAACAGTTGGCAAGGAAATGAAACAGCACATTTTGCTTTCTTATTATATTAAAAAAGGGGCATATTGTCTGGTGACTCAAAATTATCGAGAGGAATAACAAGATTCCTGGATTGTTTTTCCGGCTTTGCTAACTTGCGTGCATCTCTTGACTTTCCTTAGCCTTCGTTTAGCCATTGAAAAAGTTCATCTCTTTGCTCAACTTTGGATTTTGTTTCTTTAAAAAAAACAAACAAAAAAACTGTAAAAAGCAGAAACCACCTGAGAACTTTATACAGTGTGCACAAAATCCTGTTTTCAACATTTAAATGTTTATGAAGGAAACTTCTGTGTTTTGAAAATTTTCTCCATTCGGGTAGGGCTCTTGCCAAGAAGACCTACTTTGTTGGGGAGCACTTTTAAATATAATTCAATGGGAGCCATGGATTATTTTTAGAAAATGCATTTAGTATTTGGTTGTTAAAGATGGCAAATAGAAAAATACTTTTACAGTCTTTAAAATGCATCATGGAAGCACTTGAGGTTTTTTTTTTTTTATAAAAAGCCCTGCAATTGCGAAATAACATTATCAAATTTAAGATTTAGTACAGCCTATGGCAGGATACTGCAATAGGATGCTTTGCTGTTCAGAATTACATAACAGTTCCTATAGGAACCACAATTGCTTATATGGCTTGTTTCATTGCTGCAACCTTGTTACGCAGGATCCTTCATCTTAAGTAGTCACGTATGATCAGTTTTTCCCCATCTGAAAATGTCGCAGCTCTTGGGAAAGAATGTGTAAGAAGAAGACTAATCTGTTTGTTGTGGGCATTTGTGAAGTGTCAGTCTATAACTCTTGTAACTAATTTTGGATTGTCTGGTTGTTGAAGCTCTTATGAAATAATGTATTTTGCTTTAAAAAGAGCTACTTGATATCTTGCTTTTGCTTTTATAAGTGTCCTAGTGTGGTTTAGCTCAGTTCTCTTCTGAAAAGCCTTAGGCTAAACCATGGGAGGCACTTACAGTGTGGAATAAGTGGGCAGCTATTGTGAAATGGCTTTTTCCCAAGTAAGCAAGCCCTTTGTCATAGGCTAAGTACAGACATTCAAAAAAGCCTGAGGCAAAATGTCTCTGATCTATGTAGGTTTCTCTAAGCTGTATAGGTTGAATTGGAGCAGATGAAACACGCATTCACTCTCTGGTGGGGGGGGAGGTGTGCAAATGCCTGCACTGACAGAGGCTGGAAGGCAAGGAGTGCTCCCGCATGCCTCCCAGTGTGCTGGAGCACAGCTGAGAGGGGGCATCCATGACTGATCCATGCATCAGGCACACCCCCCACCCCACCATTGCTACTGCAGACCCTTCCCTGTGCCTAGCTCCAGGCTCTTGGGGGAGGTCAGCATGCCACGTCTTCTACCCCTGCTGCTGCTGGCTGGCTACTGGGCATGCCATGGAGATCCTCCCCCACCCCAGGGCTCCCCCAGAAGCCCAGGGCTGGGTACAGGGCAGGGCCTGCTGGGACAGCAGGGAACTAGGGGCGTGCACCTGACAGCCAATCAGGAGGGCCTGTCTCCATAGAAGGAAGGATCGGGTTCCTAGGGGCCTAATCCATCCCTCTGTGGATCACTTCCGTCCCTACCATCTGGTGCAAGCCCCCCAAACCACATGGAATGTCTCACTGGGTGCCATTCGTGCTGAGCTCTGACAAGATGTGCCGGACAGCCCAGAAGGTCCTTGCCAGGCAGCAAAGCCTGATCCTGCCCTCCTATGGAGTGTTTCTACGCCTGTCACAAACCCCTCAGGCAGCCCAGCGTGTCCCACCAGAGCCCAGCACCAGTAGCAGCTGGTGAGATGTGCCGAGCAGGCAGGGGGGGCTTGTGCCTGGCAGCAGGAACAGGAGCATTCTGTAGAAGGGCAGTGTTGGGGAGGGGAGGTGGGGGAGGGAGCACCTGCTTCATGAGCCCCTCCCAGCTGTGCTGGGACTGATCTGGGGAACAAGGGGGGGCTTCCGTTCCCCTCCCTTCCCCCTCTGTTGCTACTGAAAGCTGTATACTTATGATGGGGATTGGGGCTTCCCTGACTGTTCAGAAGGTGATAAGGGGGATCGCCTGCCCCACAGCTCACTCCAGCTGTGCCAGCTCGGCCTGGCCGTGCTCTGCTTTCTGGATGCTGTACCTCCTGCCAGCCCCTATTCAGCAATGCCCAGCGTAGCCCAAGGGAACAGGTTTGGAGCCTTCCCCCGCTTCAATAGCAGGTTCCCGCAGCCCCATGCTGGCGACACAGAAAGGGGGCCCTGCAGAAGGAAGGACTTGGGTCCCCTGTAGCCCTGGCAAAATGCAGGTAGTGGCAGCAGGCACCCAGCATGCCTGCAGGAATTTTGTGATTTCTGGAATCATGCCCCATGCCCACCACCGCTGCCTGCAGCCTGTCAGAGCTCCAAGGGGCCTGATTCCTGCCCCTGCTGAGCCTACCCTCCCCCCCCCGCGTAGAGACATTATATGAAGATAGAAAGTTCCTGCCTTACAGACATTCCCTTCGTTTCTCCCCCTGCCTGCAGCTGACAGCTCAAAGTAGCTGAGCACAGCTGAGGCTAGCAAGCGGCCCTGTGAGGGGAGGTTAGCGAGGGAGCTCCAAAGGCTTCTGGTATGCTGGGCGACTGTGCCTTACCTTGAGTCAGGAGGGGATCTGGTTCTGAAGCTCCATAGACCAGTTTAACTTAAATCAGCTAAGTCTGATACTGCATCCATCCAGTTCTATCTTAGATCAGGTTTCACCATTTTTAAACTAGTGTATGTGATCTGAACTTTGGTTCTGTTATGTGTATAGACCGGTTTCTGACCACCTAAACCTGAAGAAGTGTAATGTTTGCACCTTGCTGTAGTTTCCATTTAAAGATATCTTAATTTTACCTTTTTTATTTTGCAGAGGAAGATGTGGGGTGGTTAGAAAATGCATAGCTAAATCCACAAACCAAGAATACGCAGCTAAATGTATGAAGAAAAGGAGAAGAGGGCAAGACTGTAAAGCAGAGATTTTACATGAAATTGCAATCCTTGAATTAACAAAATCTAGTCCTCATATAATTAATCTCCACGAAGTCTATGAAACAGCAAATGAGATCATCTTAGTGTTGGAATAGTAAGTATGCAATAAATATATTTGTTTTTTGTAATAATAGATTTGTTAGTGTTGTTTGATAGAATACAACCAGCAGAACAACGTTGTACATATTCTTTTAACAGTACCATATCATACAGACCTGTGTCTAGCTCTTGAAGGATTGGTGCTTTTCATTTTTTTTTGTTTGGGGCTGGATTTTCTAGGCAAACCACTTGTCATGTCATTTTAACCCGTCATTACTAATATATACATTCTTATTTATGGTAGGTGACTGACAGCATTAATTGTAAAAACTGTGATGCAAAACCAATTGGTAAAGGAGACCAGCACCTATGCCAAGGATGCTTTAAAATTTATAAAAGTGAAGTAATATATAATATTAATGATGTACAGTTAAAATAATAAAAAGTGAGGAAAAGGGGGGAAAAAAAGATTTTTGACATATTAATATGGCTGCATTAATGAATCTTTATATATAAATGGTAGGGCACTGTTCTGTTAAGCTACACATTTTGCTAGGGAAGATGAGAATAGAAGATTACTGGAAACTTGAAACTTTAGTCATTGTATGTCCTCAACCTAAATATCGTAAAGAAAAATGTTTCACGATTTAAAAATAGCTTTCAAATGACTGTAGTTAGGATTTGAAGAGAACATCTTATTTGGGGAATTCATAAAGGGAGGGTTGCTTCCTACCTCTGCTATTTTTTAATATATTACTTTGGGCTTGGGAAAAATAAACAGAAACATTGTTTTTATATGGTGACAAACAGCTTTTAAGACAAAATTGGAAAGAAACTACTAATGTTTAACAAAAGAATTTTAAAAAATCTGTACTTTTTTTTTTTTTTTAAACATAAAAAAACTGTCACTGGTACCAGGCAGTCTGGCTGAAAATGTAAGTATATTTTTAGGTCAGATTCAACCAGAGTATAGCTGAGGCAGTTCTTCATGGAAGGATTTTGATTGTTTTTATGGGAAATCTTTTTTTTTTTATTGTACATGCCTTCATGCTAGCCTGGTACCATGGGAGGTGCTAGGTTCTGTATGCATGTTTGCTGTGTCATTTTATTGCCGCAAAATAAAACTAGCTAGCTACACTTTCTTCCACAGAATGAAATCACTCAGAATCTGTTGCCTGGTTTTTGCAAGTGTTAAACGCATACAACTCCCATTTTGTTACCCAAGCAGTCATGGTAATAGCTATCCCCTAAAATTAGACCACTTATTTAGGTGCATCTTTTGAAGAATCCAAGTTTGAAAACAGTCAATGAGAGCCTTGTAATATTTCATATATCAAAATTCTTGCGTGTGCCTGTGTAAAAAATATGTGCATCTTTGCAGAAATTTTTAGAAATAAAAATGGCTGGAGTGAAAAAATAGATAAATAGCACCAAATAGATTAAAATTCCCTGCACTAAACAGGAAAAAAAAACAACTAAGCATGTTCCAGGATGTCAAAGATACAGCCAGCTCACAGAGCCACATCATCCAGCTCCCAGTGCCAGCCCTGGGTCTTGAGTGGACCCATACACCACAAGTGGTATGCACAGGTCCCAGGCCCCATGCTACATGGACACCTTTGAGGGGGCATTTCAGGAGCTGTCCTCACATGCCCCTTCTGCTCCCCTACACCCCCGTGCAGCACTTGTGGTGCTCACTGTAGCCAGTCTGGGACGCAAGCCATCTGGATTGTCCATGATTGTGCTGCATGCAGCGCTTGCCTCAGCCAGTCTGAGACCTACGCTGTGTGTGGCACCTGCCCCAGACTATCTGGAGTGGGTGCTGTGAGTACTGGATCAAACATGCTTGGGTGGAAGGGGGGCACACCCTTCATCTGGCCCCTGAACTGGTCCTATGCCACTCATTTGGCCCACAGGGCCAGAATGGTTTATCATCCCTAATTTAGTGATATGGTTCTCGACTGCTTTAGATTTGAGGCACTCCCTCAGAAAATACAACCTGTAGGGTGACCTTTATATGTGTTCCAGGGTGGGGGGGGAGGGGCACTTTAATTGGAGCAGCTCTCAGGAGCACACCTAATGGAGCTAACACTCCAAACTGGATGTTAAAGAGATCATACCAAATTTACCTTCTCCTGTTCCAATACTGAGGAAGGATACAGGTTTTTTGGTGTCCTGGAATTAGGATTTTAGGATAAACTTTAGGATTTGAGGTGCCTTTGAGGTCCCTTCCAACGGCATGATTCTGTACTTTCAATATGTGTATGCAGCAGGATCTCCAATTTTCTCTTCTGGATTATTTTCTCTCTTTCAAAATTACGTCTATTTTGATGACTACTGAAGTTCACCTGGCATCTGTAGCAGCTTATTCTCAAATCCATGCATTTCAAACTATATAGAGAACAGAGGGGACTGATTCAGTGAGGAAATCTCACTGCATGACCAAAATGCAATAAGAAAACAAATGAGACTGATTCAAAGTATGGACCAGAATCAAAAAAACATGTGCATCTCATAAACTGCCCTTTAATAGCTTTGTTTTTTTAATATAACCAAGTGATATATTTGCTTCAAGAAGGCAAGTATGCCAAAACTCAAATAATGTTCTTATTGTTTCATATAGTCTTATCTTTTTTAAATAGGATGAAGTCTGAAAAAATATAAAGGCTACAGTTAAGCATATTGAAAATAATGGAAGACAACGGAAATAACACTTCTAGACTTTTAAAAGTCTGGATATAGGTAGTAATTTAGGACTGGATCTCTTAAGTAGCTAATAATCAGACTATTTGAGTACCACCAACATAAAGGCTCTTCCATAGAGATCCTTGGCTTTTAGGTAAAGGGTTTAAAGTTTGGCAGGATTTATGAATTTTGTTTTTAGGTAAGTTGTATATTGGAAAGTGGTTTGTTGATGATGTTCTCTGTTGTTTGATGATCTGTATTGGCAGAGGTTTTGGAAGAAGGTATTTTCTGGCTGAATTTCAGTCACACTGATTCTCCAAACTAAGTGCATCTAATATTGCATGGTTGCTAGACCTTTCTTTTTTTTTTTCCCTCTTCCTTTTTGTGAACATTTCTGCTTGTCTCTAGTTCTTTCTCTGAAAATTTTTTTCTAACATTTTCACCTGTCTAACAACTTTCCAGACTCTATTTTATGTATTTTTAGATGTTCACTGAAATATTTTTTTCTCCTGAAGGGCATCAAATAGGAGTATAGTGAAACTTGCCTTATAGGAGAAATAAAGGCACTCACTCCCATGCCCTGCTCTGAGCTTCTCCATCCCCCTGGCTTCCTGATGATGCCACTGGGCATGGGGTGACTGTTCTGAATCCAGGGGCTGTCCTTGCTGAGTCCTGCTTGTTGGCAGTGATGCTGCTGCCAGCTGGATATTCTGGTCACGGGTGGGGACCCCTGCAGTGCTGCCTGGGGGGACTAGAGGAAAGGCTTTTTGCCTGTGCTCTGACTGTCCAGACAAGAAGCCTGACCCCTGCAGTTAGAACACCAGCGAGAGAGGAGAGCCTTGATTGGGTGGCGAGAGTAAAGGGGCTCCCTGAAAGAAGAGGCAGGGGATGATGGGGATGGGGGTTTGTTCTCCACAATCATTTCCTGATGTAACTCCTCACACTTGCCTCCATGCAAGAGACCATGGTAGGGGCAAGTTCTAGGTTGCCATGTCCCCATTGTTGCTTGCAGTCTGAGTGGCAATGGGGACAGGGCAGCCACTACCACCCAGGCCAGATTTCAGATGAGGACAGGGTAGTCCCTGTCTAAGAGGGAACCTTTAAAAGCTGAAAACCTGCTAAATTTCCTTTGCGTTTCTATGTTAGTTTCTGTCTTACGGGGAATTGAGTATATTTAGTTTGTGTAAGGTATGCTAGGACCGTAAGAGTTTCCAGCTTGAGCAGGTTTCTGGCTTATAGAGGTTCCCTCTTAAACAGGTGTCACTATTTTCTAGGTGGTATTAGTTGTAGTAACTGGCTTATGTGAAGTTTTTGTCTTATTTAGGAGAATCTGTTTTGATTTTTTCGTAAGACAAGGTGTAAGCTGGATCATACTTATAGCTTGGTATAACTGAAGTTATTAAAGGGGTGGGGAGGCTGAAATTTCTAAAGCAATACCAAGAATTCAGCCACAAGTTCTGGTTTTGAATCTAAACCCAAACTGTCTGGTATGAAATTCCTTTCATTTTTGTCTGTTTGCATTTTATGGCTGCTTGCCTTTTCTTCTTTCTTGAGTTTAACAGGCTGTTAAATTGGTTAAAACTTAACTTAAAAAAATTCTTAAATTACTTTTGGAGAAAGTACTTTTACTAAATTTACTACATTTTCTCTCTCCAAATTTTCAAATATCATATTCTAAGTTACTGAACAGTTCTATCACTACTTAGTTTTGATATTTGTGTAAAAATACTGAATTACATCTAACATGTTTTGTTTTAGTGCTGCCGGAGGTGAAATTTTTAACTTGTGTGTCTCGGACCTAGATGAGAGAATTGGTGAAAGTGATATAGCCAGACTTATTCGACAAATACTTGAAGGTCTCATCTGTCTGCATGAGAATAATATTGTGCATCTAGATTTAAAGGTAAGATTTCAGATAATTTACCTTGGTTAATCCTGACATTGAAAGACGTGAAGTTTTTTATTTTTGAAAAATGAGCAGGATGTATTTGGTAACCCTGTTGCTCTGAGACAAAAAGAAATGCAGGACTCTAGAACTCTTGGTTTAGAGATGGTACCTTTTATTAGACCAACTAAGAAATCGCAAAAAAAAAAAAATCTTCCTTTGCAGGCTTTCAGGTGCGCACACCCTTCCTCAGGCTCAGGGAAAATTTAAAGATGGTAAAATTCCCCAAAGGTAGAAAATAAACTTCATTTTGCACAGGAGAAGCTGAAGGTGCAAGTCTGTTCCTCTGGGTCCATGACTAAAACATTTTAGAAGATGTGCTAAAGTTGAATTGAAATGTTTTATTTTGATCCAGATACAGAAAGTATAAACACATGAGAAATGTACATAATTACAGTGTTCTTATGTTTTCTGCTGTTTATATATCTTTAGTAGAAAGAGAGCTGCAGGGAATTTTACAGACTGCTTCACTCAGACTTTATAGTCTGTAATGCAATTCTAGGTGCTAATAAATATAAACTATATTTCATTCCGTGAGTATTGGTAACTCTGAGTATAATTTAAATTGTAATGTATTAAAGACTAAATGGCTCTTTCTCTATTTAGCCCCAGAACATCCTGTTGAGCAGTTTGCATCCTCTTGGTGATGTAAAAATTGTAGATTTTGGTATGTCTCGGAAGATTGAGAGTGCTAGTGAACTGCGGCACATCATGGGAACCATAGACTATCTAGGTAAGGAGAAGTGTTTTTTCCTCTTTTATATTTCTTGTATGCAAATGAAAGTAGAACAGTTCACTGACTGTGAAAGCAGAATGTGCAGTGTTTAGTCACTCTCCTGCTGGTTTTGGATCTTAGTGTTGTTTGTTTCCTAATGGTAACTACATGTTGCTTTTTGGATGGTTCTTAGGGGTACATGGACCAGCTTAATCATTACTGAAGTGAATTTAAAAATACTCAAGTGCACACTAGAATTAGGTGTGATATGAGGGTCCAGCCATGTGCTTTTTAAAACAGTGTTTCATTTTGAAAATGTGTATACGGAATCTTAATTCTCTATATGACTACATGTCTCCTTACTAATCAATTAAATTTGAAAATTGGTGTGAATTTAATGGGCAAGTCTATAATCTTACTGATTAGAGTGTCCCTACACTATATTCCTGGATGGGAAGGAGAAGAAGAGGTGGAACTTCCTTATAACTAACTCTAAAGTTGGTTCAGCCATGTTGGCTTTTATTGTTTATTACAGGCCCAAAATACTCTTTAATTTTTTTTCCAGTGTTGAACAAGGTTTTAAGATAATCAACTTCTCTGTCTCAGTACATTTTTTAAAATTGGTTCAGCTAAACTGATCTTAGAGCTGGAACCACAGAATAGAAAAAATTCACTTTGCCCCCAAAGACTTGTGAATTGGTCAAACAGGTTTAACAGGTATTTTAAGGATTAGTTGGAATAGAGTGGGCTTCCAGCAGGTTTAAAAAAACAGCTTGGTCTGAACCAATTTAATGCTACTCTGTGCTCAAATTGGAACTAATTCAGTTAGTTTTCCTAGTGCTGTTGCACAACACCCTGACAACCTTTTTGAGATCTCCCAGAATGCCTGGCTTTTGGAAATGTACCAAGAATTTTGATGTAGGCATCTAGAAGATATTTAACTGAACTGGTTTAGAACAGCACTCATATGGATCTAGAATGCACTTAATGCTTCTCAAACTGATACAGTAATCAGCGATGCAGCACAAGTACAGTGGAGTTTTGTCTGTCTGTCTCTCTCTCTTTTTTTAATGGTTCTGTCCATCCAGTTCCAGAGAGGGCATGTAGCTCTAGGCAGAAATTTCCAATCTAATCTTGTAACTCTTAAGCTAAAGTGAGTAAGTAACATCCGGTCTCTTTAGAAGCCTGTAACTAACTTCATTTTTGGTCTGCGCCATAGTACATTAGTGTAGCAGGTTAGGACAGCAAATTTTTTTCCTGCAGTTTGATTGGGTTTTTGGCAATTGTTTCCTAGATTGAAATATATTTCACACTTAGTGTGGCATTTACATATTACACATGTAAGCAATAAATATTTTAATTGTGTACTTAAGACTCTTTTTTCCGCCCCCCCCCCCCCCCCCCCCCCAGCTCCAGAAATCTTAAACTACGATCCAATCACCACAGCTACAGATATATGGTAAGTATTTTTAAATTGTTTTTTATTTGCTGTAAGTCCAGTTGTCATGGTGGTGATAGTAATAGTAATAAATAATAATGTTTATTGTAATGGAATAATAAACAATATAGGTATCAGCTGCTCTTGGGAACGCTCCCCAGGTCAAACTACTGCAACGCCTCTCTTGGGCATGTGCTGGGCTCAGTGCTGGGGTGTGCCGAAGTTAAAGTGCCCTTTTTTTGGCAGGTGGAGGGGGCTTGTGTGGCTCCATTCCTCCCCTACACCACACCCAAAGCCTTGTGGCTATTCTTTCCTATTGATGTTAACTATTTCTGTTTAAATACTCATGCCCCCTTGGAACTTTGGACCCCCTAGTCCCTTATATCATCTTGTTATGGGCTCTTGGACCCTTGGTCCTGCACACAGCCCCTCCTCTGGGCTCTTGGACCCTTGGTCCTGCACACAGCCCCTCTCCAGGCTTAGGGACCCTCTAGTTCGGCTTAGCATCCTCTCTGGGCATGTGGGGTCTCTGGTCTGGCTCAGCCCTTCCCTGGGCCCAGGGAGCCTCTGGTCTTGGTCTCGGTCTCAGCCTTTCTCTAGGCTCCTTGACCCCTTACTGGGTCCCACCCACAGTCTGTAGGCTCTTGGGTTACCAGTTCTCTAAGCAGGCCAACAGCCTGCCACAGTGGGGCTTAAGGCTAAACCATTAGTACCACAAATAAAAAGGAAGTAACTCAGCCCCTTGGCAGACCCCTCAGACTCTCTGGGGGTTTAAAATAAAACAAAGGCCACTTGCTGTAAAACCCTGTCGTCCTCTGCCCAGGTAACCTTCATCTGTTCCCAGGCCTGCAGGGTTATTGATATAAATCCAAGTCCCTTCAGGAGCCCTGCTGCCGAAAGCTCCTTACTTTGTGGCTGCCAGGGAGAGCCTGCCTGACCGGCTCAGGCTCTGGGCTTATGTAGTTCTAGCCTGAGCCCTCTTCCGGTCTGGTGAGTTTCTCATGAGCCACCTGAAAGCAGCCTCCTGGGAGCAGGCACATCCCAGTGCCCTGCTAATGAGAGGTGCCTAGAGTCTGAAGAGGAAGAGAGCCACTGCTTTAAGTTCTGAGTTAAGCAGTAGGAAATTTATCCCATGCCTCACATACGTATGTGAGCAAACTGCTTAGAACTGTGGTGTGTTTAGGTTCTTTTATTGTCAGTGAAATGAGGAATAACAAGAAAAGCTGGCTCACAGAAGCAGGTATTATAGGGAGATTTCATTTTGTTGTCACTGACTGTGTAACATGAAAGATTAATTACTTGTACTTTTGTTTAGGAACATCGGCATAATCTCGTATATGCTGCTGACTCAAGAATCTCCATTTGCAGGAGCTGATAAGCAAGAAACTTTCCTTAATATCTCCCAAATTAATGTGGATTATTCTGATGAAACTTTTGCATCAATTTCACAGCCTGCCAAGGACTTCATTCAAAAACTTCTTGTAAAAAATCCAGAGTAGGTAGTAAATTCCTTGGGGCGAGGACTGTACGTTCCTGTGTGTGTGTGTGTGTGTGTGTGTATAACACTTTTTAAACCTAGGGTTTTCCTGATTGGGGACTTGGGTGCTCTTGTAGTGTAAATAATGTAATATACCTAGTACCCATTTAAAATGAAAAGATACTGGTTTCTACATTATGATATATGAAAAAGGAAATCTGAGTTGACCTGATAGTGAGATCTGATTAGTCTTGTATCAAACTTCTGTTTTAAAACTGAATTATAAATTACTGCATAGTCTCATGGGACAAAAAAAAATTGCCAGTGTAGTAATTGACTTTTGTTTGGTAGGATGCTATCTGGATTTAAGAGTAGTTTTATTCCGAAAAAGGAGTTGTAGCTTCTAATTCGGATTTGCTCAGCTGGCAGATCGAAAAAAGTGTGAGACAACTGCTAGTTCTGCAAACCCAGTCTGAAGTTTGGAATATGAAAATCAGGCTGTGGATATTTTAATCGTGTGTCATGCATCATTCCACTGTAAGTGAGCATTTGTTTTATGTTGGAGATTGGATTCCTTCAGTTAGAAGAATCTGTAGGGCCTGCATGTGCATGTGTCCTGGTACACCGCGTACTCCCTTAGAGGCGATAAAAGGAGGACTGACTGTGGTCCTTTTTCCATCTCTGCTCCCCCCACAACTTACTACCTGTGGCAACAAAACATTGCAGGGTTACACTTGCTGGACTCTGGCATTGGTTTATTGTCATAAATGTATCAAAGTCTGAAACCTTTGAACAAGTTTCCAGTTCTTTTACTTATAACATCCGGACTGAACAAATTCTTCCAGGTTGAATCCCTTCAACCAGACCTCCTTTTTCATCCTTTGTTTTTAGATTCTATATAGGAGAGTCAAAACTCAACCTATCAACCCATCCTACAACGGGCATTGCAAGCTAAATGAATCCTCTGTGGCAGACATGAAGTGTACAGTGACGAAAACCACCTCGGGCTTTGTAGCCTGAGACAGAAAAGAATCTGGTGTCCTCTTCTGTAGAAAGGTAGTAGAAAGTCAGCAATGTGAGAGAGCTAGCATTTCCACCTGTTGTGTGACTAAGACTTTGCTGTTCAACATTTCTAACTTGGGACATCTGCAAATGTTTCTAAGCATATTTTTATTTTGAAATAAACTCTACCTCTCATTGGGGTGAATACTTTTTATAAAATAAATAATTGCCTTTTGGTTTTCTATTTAAAGGGAAAGACCAACAGCAGAGGCTTGTCTCTGTCATTCTTGGTTGCAGCAAGGGGAGTTCATACTCCTGTACAGTCCTGAAGAAAATTCCTGCCCTTTTCTGGTACCAGACCATACAGCAAGGTCTTCAGAGGAGAAGAATACAAAATCTATTTGTAATGGTACCTGCAGCGACAGAGAAGATAAAGAGAACATTCCAGAGGACAGCAGCACAGTCTCCAAACGTTTCCGGTTTGATGATTCATTGCAACATCCTCAAGACTTTGTGACAGACTTTGTATGTTAACATGACTATTTATGCAGGTTCTCTGAAATTAGATTTAGGATAATCTATTCCAGAGACTAATTTTATAACATGTGTTGCCCATTCCTACAGAGTGGCTATGCTGGAAGTGCACTTTTGATGCCTATGCTGGTGCTCCCTTTAATGGCATTGCTGGCAATGGACTTCACTGAGCAAAACTGGAGTTCTGGCACTAACTTCTCTTTTGACTGAGCTATAGTTGAAAATGGTTTGCACTTTTCAAGTTTTAGTCCAAAAAAGATATTAGTGTTTAATATAAAGAGGATTAAAGGAATGCATGGAGCTAGCTGAACAACTTGGGCATAGTCAAGTCAAAGACTAAGGCTTGCTACCTGATCAGAACTGGGGAAATGAAACTAGTTTTTGGTAGTCTTTTCCTACAGAAGTGCTTCCCAAACTTCCTCACTATGAACCCATTCCCTCAGCATGGCCCCTCACTCCCAACCCACAGCCCTCTGCACCCCCCAGTAGTGGCCAAGTTCCAGCTACCACCCATGGGAGCATGGAGCCCGGCTCCTCCCCCACTCCCTCCCCCTGCTGGTGTCACAGCTAGAGCAGAGCCTGTGGGGTAGTGGGGAGGATGCAGACTGCCTGCTGCAGTCTTGGGGCTCCCTGCCCTACTGCCCACCCCACACGGGCTCTGCAGCCCAGTTGGCAGGACCCAGTATGGGAGGGAGCTCTGCGCTACTGTGGTTGCCAAGGTGAGGTGTCCCCTGCCCACCCAGCAGCAGTTTGGGGGGTGGGCCACAGCAATATGCTGCTGCTGTGCTTCACTTCGCTAAGCAGAATGGCACTCCCATCCTGCACCAGATCCTGCCCACTGGGTTGCAGAGGTGGCTCCTGCCTGGAGCTGGTCCAGCCCCATGCCCCATTATGTGCAGAAACCTTGGGGGGTGGGGAGGGGCGTGCCCCCTGCTCTCCCTGTGGCCCCCTGCTCTCCCAATGCATTGCCTGTGCCCCCTCCTCACCATAGACTTACCTGGAGGGATCTGCCGGAGCAACTCTCCACTGCTGTTTGGTTTACGTGTGCATGTATGCATGCATGTGCATGTGGTGCTCCCTGCTTCCCCAGCCCCAAGGAGCCCCTTGCTGGCTGGAACTCTACCAGCCTGCAAAGGGAAGCCTGCATTTTCCTGTGTTTTTCTCACTCTGGAAAACCTAAATCCCTGTTTATCACGACCCCATCCGTTAATGTTGCGACCCCATTTGGAGTCTTGACCCACAGTTTGGGAGCTGCTGCCCTACAGTGACTGCTCTCATCAGTTCTCAATGTTTTTTAACTGAATTGATGCTAAAGCTAAAATTAATGGATGTCTTGGGATATAGTGTTTTAATGAACAAGTGCCTTTTCTATCTAGAACAGTTGGCAGTCGTTAAGGATAGTCTTTTTGCCTTTGCTAACTGGTTCCCCCTGAGTATGTGGTATGTAACATATGTTGAATCATTGCAATATTGGAGTAGAATATGGGTAGGTTGTTAGTTTTAATGCTGAAGATTTGGTTTATGTCGACAGCTCTATCAAAAAGGGTAAAAAGTACTATACTGAAATACATATTAATTGACAGAGCGCTTATTGCTTGGCATCATAATGTCATCCTTTTCTAAATCTAGGTTTCATTGGAATTATCATTCCAGTAAACCATAAGAATTCCTATACCACAATATTTTTATCTGGGAAGTTTTTAAATGGTATGAAGAATAGACTAATAGACATTTATTTTCCATATAGCTGTGATGCACCTGCATTGTAGGAATCTGATTGGTTAGCAACAACAAAAAAAGAATGGAGTAGAAAGACTTTGATTTTTGCTTACAAAGCAATATTTATTTAAGAAATATGTATATTTTTTGAGACCTACGTTCATGTTGTGAAATTACCCTTAAAGGTTTTGGGATTTAAAAACAAAGCTTTAGTGCTTATAAAATCTTTCATAATTTTTAGAGAACACTTGTTTCCATTTTCTCTTGCTTTTAAACTGCAGATAAGCAAAGGTGTTGTTTTCACCCACCTCCTTATTTCTAGGCTCTGATAAATACTCCAAATTTTCAGCTGAGTAGATGGTGATGAGGGTATAAACTCCTGATAAGTGTGTGTGGGGGAGGGGGGGGTTCCTTCAAATACTGACAAAATGCACTCTTCACCCCAATAGCAATAACAATTTGAGTCTTCTCACATAAGAATGTAAGTATTAAACTCTTTGAAATATGATGAGAGTTAATAGCACTTTAAAGTACTTTCAGGGTCTTCCAGGCTACAGAGTTAAATCAGATCCTGTGGATGTCTCTTGTCCAGCCCAATTAAGTATCACAATTCTGATTTATCTTGCGTTTCCTCGGATGTGGTTGTCGACCCTGACAGTATTTCAACATTGTTAACTAAAATTGAAGGAAAACATGTAAATACCATTATAAACATGCAATAAAAGGCTGCATTATATTTTAGCAAAAGGGGTGAATTATTTTTTTAATCATGTGGATCTATTTTAATGGCACTTCTGTTGGTACAGATTGACGTTAACCTGAGTAAGAAGTTCAAGATCAGGCCATTAGCTAATCTGTTAAAATCCACTTTTTTGCCATGTTCAAACAAGATATTTTTTTGTGATATCTTTCAATACCGAGTGGATTCAAGTATGAACCTACCTGAGGGGCCTAGGTGTTAGGGGCCTTCGCTATTAACTCTTATACATATGAACATATTGTTTTTTATATATTTATTATAAAGAAATAATAACATGATTTTGCAAGAGAGGTAGTTGCTGCAGTAGATAGATTGACTTTAGAGCTCGCTCTTTCTCTCTCTCAAATTGTGTAAAAGCCATAATTTCTAAAATGGATATCTTGCATTTAAAACTAGCTAACAAAAACAAATTATATTAAATCAGTTTAAATATTTTTTTTTTAAGTTTACAAAATATTTGAAGTTGGACATTAACTTATGATGATGAAGGGAGAGACAAAATGTCAGAATAGCACATTTCTGCAAAACCATACCTTAATAGACCTGTCAAATTATTGCTAAATTAAAATGATAAAACTGGAAGCTCATGAAGATGTTATCATGTACATAAATATGTTTTTTGTTTTTTTTAACATTTGATAAAGCTGAAAGCATATGCCAGCACTTTAATGAGACAAAAAACATTAAATATTTCTTAAAGAGAATTTAATATTTCTTAAAGAGAATTTTCATGTGTCTTATGAATGTTTACATTTTGTTACTGCTTTTTGGACTTAAGTTATCTTTATATTTGAATAAGAAACCTTAGTTTTTATCCAATGGAGCTTTTTTTCAAATTTGTACTTTTTTATATGTAAATTCAACTTGAATCTAAGAATTTTAAATGTCTAATTTTTTGGATCAATGTGTTTGATTTTTTTTTTTAATAAGAACTTTTATTGTGCATGCCATAATATTGTCTTGTATATAATTTTATGGAGTAGAGCAGTTTATACAACAGATTTTTCTTAGTGTTTAACTTCCTGGGGATTAGCGAAAGAAACACAAGTGGGCTATAGGTATAATTGTTTAGACTACTCATGTCACAGCTATGCAATTCATGAACTTTTTATATAATAAACATTTTGTTAGAATGATTTTTTTTCAGTTAACTTCTTTATTTGTCAGGATTTTTCTAATTAGTAGACCACAAGGGATTAATTGGAAAATAACCTATATTTAAGTTTAAAGAAACATTTATTATTCTGTAAAGGAAACATTTTATATTAACTCATAATGATTGTATTCAGTGGTGTCAACGGGCATGGGGTCAATATCCAAGTTTCATCTGGGCAAATGGTGGGTGTTTCTAAAGTCAACAAATACCTAATTCAAATTTAAATCTAAAACAGAAGTGGTCTAAAATTATATATTTTATAGAACCCATAATCTAGGTGCATGTACATGTGAGAGATAATAAATGGGTATTAATTACTACTTTGGGCTGCACGCTGCAGTTCTAGCACAAGCAAAATCCCTAGCAACAAAATAAATTCTGTATTAGAACTGTCTGAGTGAGCTTTGTTCCTTTCATTGAACACAATGTGGCCATGGATCTGCTTTGGTATTACTGAAGCATTCAGTTCAGAAGTACTCTAAATTTACTGCATGTAAAGTGATTAAATACGCTTTGTTCATATTCCCCAGTACAGCACTGGGGAATACACACAAGTGCTTAGTTTGAAATTGCAAGGAAACAAAAATGGCGATTCTCCACTTTTTGTGGGATTTTTTTCCTCAAGAATGTAGTATGCTTGGAAGCATCTCTGCTCTAAACAGCAGCTGCTAATTTCAGAAGTACAGTCACAAAAGTGTCATTTTGCAGCTATGAATGATAATTATAACATTCTTTGAAATGCTCAGAACAAAAGTGGCAAGAATTTATATATTAAAGGTTTGTAGGCCTTTTGTACAGAAACAGTCTTTTTACCAGTCTTAAAGAACTCTGGAACTTTTAAATCTGAAAGTGCTGCTTTGTCGACTCTGGGCACATCCACACATGCATTTGCTGTGGCACCAGTTTACTCGTGAGAAAATTACTCATGAGTAATTGGTGCTGGGCAGGCATCTACACATGCAGGGAAGCAGGAACAGATTAGCTGGCAATGGCAGCAAATCCGCTCCCACTTCCTGGGGCCTTGCAACAGATGCCTGCCACCACCAGGAGCAGCTGCCAGCAGCTGGCAGTCCTCTTTAAAAGCCAGCCCTGCATGCTGTTCCCTGGCCAGCCACTTCTCTGGCCAGGGAGCAGTGTGTGCAGTGCAGGGATGGCACACGACAGTGCTATTCTCACCACTTGTGCCTTCCCATGCCATGGCTCCTGTCCCTGGCCCTTGCTATGACCAACACCCCATGCTCCTGCTGGCCACTGCACTGGCCTTTCTGGCCTGCTGCGCCAACTGCTGCTTGACCCACAGCCATCTTGCCTCTCCCAGCTCCCCCAAGCCCAGCGACTGCCTGCCCATCCACTGTGTATCCACCCCTGAGGGTCTCTGATCAACAATTGGATTGGAGGGTTGTTAAGCCTCCTCAAAATACTTTTTCGATATAAACAAATGTGGTGGATTTAGGGTTAAATCCTTCAGGCATTGACGTGCAACCTAGCCCCGCTTGAAGGTTGGAATAAACACACTACAGCTCCAATAAGATTAAACACCATAGCTGTATTGAATAAAATATAGCAATCAACAGCATCAACCAGTATAAGCAGTTACACAAACTAATAGATATAAACACTCAAACACCAATCCAAAAAATAGTTACTAGGGCTGTGGGATGCTTCGGTCGCTGATTCGATTCAGCCCAATTCGGTGGCTGAATTGCCGAATCAAATCAGGAGACCCTTTAATTTCTCCAAATTGAATCGGACCCTTCCGAATTGATTTGGAGAGATTCAATGATTTGGACATAGACACAGCTTTAAATGTTTTTTCTACATACCTCAAGGTACCAGGTGGCTTGTAAACACTGAGATGCTGCAGTGGATGGAGCATCCCATGGGAGCGCGGGGGGGAGCAGTGATCCTAACCAACGAATCAAATCGCTGTTCTCCAAATCGGGCCAAATCTGAATCAAATACGGACCACTTCGCAAACCCCTCATAGTTACACTCCTTAGCACCACAGGCTGTCAGTATAACACATGTAGGCCTTATCATTGTGACACTGCTCTAACAGGTCTCGCTGAAACTGAGGATTTCTAACCCTTTTCTCCGCAGGATACTCAGGACCTTAAGACAAAGGAGGGGCTATACATTACCTTCTCCAGACAGAACTGCAGGTAGTGAAGATCTCTGGGTTTGATGCCGTCAGGAGCTATCCTTTCAGGTAAGTCTCCCTTACTATAGTGTCCACTGTTTCATAACAGGCAGTAGCACCAATACACCTCAGCACCACACTTAGATAACAAGTACACACACCACCACACACCTCACAAACGCACCTCAAACCCACTTCTGGTGCTCACTCATCTTTTATTTCAACCAATTGCCCCACTGCTTTCAGTCTATGCTTTAGGCCAATTGCAAACTAATTTGATCAATCAATCACCCATCAATCATTACTCAACCAATCAGGAGTCTTCGCACTTCAGAGGCTTCTTGATACATGAAGGCTTCCCACTACAATGCTATGCAACTTGTGAGCGACTGTGCGTGCTTAATATATTTATCTGGGTCATAACATCATCAAGGGTCAGTCAGTCAGTGGCTAGTTTTACAATCTTCAACCCTCTAGTTATGAGCGCGTGTGTGAATTTGTAGCCATTATATTAGAGGAGATGAGGCCCAAGGACTACAAGGTCTATACAGCTGTCACCTCAATCCCATCTGCCTTGCTGGACCCTGGCAGGGACAATGACAACAGGCTCTGGGATGCCACTTTTGCCTTCCTGGGCCTCCAGCCCTGCTGCCTTTGGGCCCACTGGGTCAACCAGAACTGGTGGCTGCATGTTGTCCAGCATACACTGGGATGATGAGCAATGGCTGGAGATGTTCCAGATGACCTGGGACACCTTCCAGGACCTAGTGGAGCAGCTCTGGCCACACCTGGAATGGCAGGACACTGCCATACCGCCACACCTCCCCACAGACACCCAGCTGGCCCTCGCCCTGCTGAAGCTGGTCTTGCCTGCCAACCTATGGTACATTGGCCACCTGTTTGGCATAGGTATGGCCACCACCAGGGAGGCCATCCTGGAGGTGTACGGTGCCCTCCAGGACATGCTGGGGGACACAGTGCTCCATGTGCATGACCCTTTGGTAGTGGTGGTGGGGTTCTGGGCCCTGGGATTCCCCCAGTGCATTGGAGCCCTGGATAGGACCCATATCCCTGCCACCTGCCCACTTCATGCAGACTGCCCCTATTACAACCAGAGGGGCTTTCACTCTGTGGTGCTCCAAGCTATTGTGGACCACCACAGGGCCTTGATGCATGAGCAACACCTGGGCAGGTAGTGCCCTGTGTCTTCAGGAACTCCAGTCTGCCAGGCCTGGTGCAGAGCAGCTGTTTTACACTGGGGGTGCTGGATCTGCAGTTGGGTGCTGTGACAGTCCCACCTCTTCTCCTCAGGGACCCCACCTACCCACTCTTCCTCTGGCTCTTTCGGACCTATGGTGGCCAGCTGGAGCCGTGCCAGGCCCATCTTAACTGCTGCTTGGGCCAGACCCAGGCTCTGGTGGAGTGCGCCTTCAGCCACCTTAAGGGCTGCTGGCACACCCTCACCTCCTGCCTCAAGTTAGCTAAGAACAGGGACAGGCCAAGTCTGGCCCACAGGCTGGATCCAGTTGGCCATGGACTTCATTTCCCAGCTGCCCCTGCCAGCATGACTTGGGTCAGTCTCCATGGAGACCCCAGCCGCACCTGGATGGGAGAGCTCGGGCTGGGGTCTCTGTGGAGCCCAGCCATAGCTGCACTGGTAAACTATTATTGTGCAAGTGTGCAGGAAACTATGCTAATGCGCAGTTAAGCCCTCTGTGTATTAGACGATTGCTGCTGTACTAATGGAACAGGACATGGGAAAATTTCCCTATTTAATCTCAGATAAACATCCACAAAGTTTATGTAATTTTTTACTCAGCTGAATTGCTGCTGCTATTGTTATAATTTAGATTTATATCCAAATTATGGGATGATCAACTTGAAAATATTCCTTGAGAGAGAGAATATAGAGAATGTTAAATAAAAATGATCTGTAAGGTCTCTTCCAGCCCCTAACAACTATGACACTATGAAAAAGATCCACTTAGGCCCTTATATAGAAAACTCTTATTTATGTAACCGTTACTTGCATCATTAATTGTAAGATTCTGAAAGTACATGTTTGCAGGATTGGGCCTCTGATGTGGCAACATTTACTTCTGTTTTTACAGCAGAAGAAACTTCATATTAAGGGTGAATTCCTGGCTTCAATGAACTCTGTTGTAAAACTCCTGTTGACTAAATGGGATAGGGAATTCACAGTAGACGTCTTGGGAAAGAGGATGTGAAGCACAAAACTTCTCTGGCAGTGAGTTCATTAGAAAGCAGGGTAGATGTGCACCTATATAGGCTGACTAAATTAGGCATATGGAGTTTTATTAGAAGCTGTGAAAAATGTGCATAGTGTGGTGTATAGACTGGTGGTTTGAATATGAAAGGTAGGAGAGGCAGAGAGCAGGGGAAGGTGGAGAAAGGGCAATTCTGGGAGAGGCATAGAAGCAAAGAAACCCATAGGAACACGGGTCACAAACGCTAACCCAGCTCCCTTCCTGTCTCTTTTATTCAAATCACTTTCTCCAGTCTATGCAGTGCTCCTGCACACCCTTTCACAGCATGTAATAAAGTAAACTCCAGTTCACAAAAGCTTATGCTATATAAGATCACTTTATTAGAAGTTCACTCATATATATATATATAAAAATAAAATAAGCTTTTGTGAACTGGAGTTCACTTTATTAGCTGCTGTGACATACATTATATATATAATCTGTAAAGTACAAATCTACCCTGCCTTCTGCTTGACTTCAGACTACCATGGCTAACCATGCCTCTCTAATGAGTTCATTATTTGTCAGCAGAGTTCAGCCAAAACAAGCAAAAATGCCTCGGTTATAAGACAGTAATTACCAAATGTGCCTTGTACTCAGTTCAGTATTAATCTACTCCATTTGCAATCCAGAAGACGCAAATTGGGTTGATTAGGATTGTATTTGTAGTTTGTGGGATTATATTTGTTTAAAGAGATGATAATAGAAGCAACAAGCTTTTTAAGGTAGTTACATAATCCATGTACTGAAGGCCTGACAATAATATAAGTAAACTTTAAGCACAATGAGCCAAGCTAATGTCTCTGTCTTTTATTTCCTTTGTAGAAATATCTTCATTTTCCCCTATGCTTAATTTGGAAAATAAACAAACTATTGATTTAACTAGGTGCTTACCAGCATATGAGCTTTCCATGGTACTTAAGGGCACTTCATTATGTTTACTGTTGGGAAGCACTGTTTTGCTTTCTCTGCCAAG